CTCTCCCGAGTAGGGGATCGGCTACAACATTGATTTACCCCAGAAATGATTTTCTCTTCTCGTCGAGTCACACGTAGACCCTTCGTGTCTATCTACGAGCATTCTACGCATCTCTCATGGAATTCGGCGAACAAATCCAGTTTGGGGGTAAATCAATTCTGCAATCGATCCCCTACACGACTCTCGACTGCACGCCGGGAAACCGTGGGCGAACAACATCCAGTCGGGAGCTTCGCTGCCCCGATACGCAACGCGCAGCCCGTAGCGTGTTGACACGGAGCTCAACACGTAGACTGATAACGAAGGTCTGGCGTGGTACGTTCGCCAAAGCGTGGGCCAACACGTGCCGAGCCAACGCGCAGCGCGTTAACGCGCAGGTGTTGAACACGGCACATGTTGCGTTTCAAGACGGGTGCATCAGGGCAGCTAAGCCAGGGCGTCGTGGGCGAAACACATCCAGTCGGGAGCTTTCGCTTCGCGTGTCGCTGCGGCGGCCCTGGCGACACGCTGCGCCTTGCGGGCGGGCACCGCGTCGCTCTGCAGCCTCACGGGCCCAGCCCCTCTGGGCCGCGGCCCCACGGCTACGCGTAGCGCTTTTCCGCGGATGCCCCGCGCAGACCGTACCCGTGCGTCTGCGTATCCGCTGGATCGCGCCCCAAAGTCCAGGCCGCAAGTGTGCGGATACGGACACGTTCGCCGCTCGTGCGGGAGTGGCTCGCTCGGGGATCCACTGGCCCATGTCGATGCAATCCCGGGCCAATCAGGCTTTGCAGGATCTTGCAAAATCCTGCAAGATCCTGCACCCAAGCCCGGGTCAGTGCGCCCCTGGCTCTGCAGGACCCTGCAAGATCAGGCGCTCTGACTGACCCCGGTCGGCATTGCGACCGTCTCTCGAACCCCGAGGGGGCCCCACGAGATGGGCTGCTGGGTGACCCCTGGTGGGGCGCGGCCTGCCGGCCCGCTGCGTGCAATGCGGCCGTGGCGGCCTGCGTGCTGGGGCCTGGGCGCTCCGCGCCTCCTGGCTGCCGCGCGCCACAGGTCACTCGGACGTTTGGCCATCGCTCGGACGCCCAAGCCCCGCACATGTTTCGGCTTCGTGCGTGTTACATGATCCTGGATGTTCCTCGATGGCCCTTGCCGGGGACAATAATCCACACGTCCGAACGATGCCACGCCTCCTCCTTTCGACGACGAGAACGTCCTCTTTATTTGGCGGCGCGCAGAGGGGGTAGGGCGAGGTCGGAAGGCTTCTTAGAAGCAGGCCGCTCCTCAGAAGGCGTCAGTCCTACGTCTATCGAGAAGGCCCGCGCTTTCTAAGGAGCAACCTCGTTCGAAGAAGCCTTCCCTCTCCCCTGTGCGGCAGATTCGCGTGGCGTCGACCCCGGCGTTGGTTCCTGACGCTGCGGGGATCGTTCAGACTTGAACGATCGGCCCTTTCATCAAGGCCAAATCGTTCGAGGATTGGCCGACTCTGGGCCACAGACGGCGTTCAACCTTGAACGCCCGCGCTGGGGTCACCGCTGGTCGACGCGGCGCGAACCTGCCCCCCCCCCCCCCCTTCTGCGCGTAGGTCAACTCCCGCGCTATGGCGTTCTCGGTGCGCGGCCCCAGGAGCTTTCGACTTTCCCTCCCGAGGGGCGGCCCGTCGCCCTATGGATCCAGCTTTGATGGTCCTGGGGCCCGGCAACCGGGCCCAGAGGCCGAGGGGGGGGGAGGGGGGGGAGGAAGGGGGGAGGGGGAGGAGGAGGGGGAGGAGGAGGAAGAAGAGGCAAGCGTACAACGACGACGACGACGACGACGCCCCCAACTACCAGTCCCCGCGCAGCCCTGCCTGTGCAGGAGGGCGAAGGGCACGGACAGCAGCGCGAACGACGTCGCGCGCCGTGTCAGGGAGAAGGAGAACCACGGGAGGAAGGAAACGGAGCTGGTGATACGTGTGCGAGGCGACAAATATCTCTTGTAATACTGGGACGGTGCAATATCCAGGGACCCCGAGACGATCGACGGGGGTCGAGGCATAAAGGACGAGAGCGGAGGGATCGGGAAACAGACCAACCTAACCAGGGGCAACATAAATAGCGCCTCAAAGAGTCAGGTGAGTCCACGCAGCCAAGAAGACATTCGTTTTCCACGGGCACGCAGAATACGATGGCTGGTCAACCAGCCGCCAGAAACTGTGCGGAGCCAGGGCCAATCCCATGACGGGGGACCTCATTGTAAACCTGGCGGACAGACACAAAGTCCCCCCGAGCAATCGCTTGAGCTCTGGATGGGGAACAGCTTGCACAGGCGAGACCTCGGAAGTGGATCCAGAGAGCGCGATTGCCAGCACTGAGCGCAAGCTATCTTCGCGGCCCGCTGGGGTTTATAGGCCTCGAGAGAGACTCTGGAGATCCTGCAGACACGGGCGGCCTCCAAAGACAGATCAGAAGACGATCCACGGACGGCGGCAGCCAGGTGCTCAACATGTGCTTTCGACTTCCAGCGTGCAGGAGAAAGTCGGCCAGCGGGCAGCATCGTCAAACGAAGCTCGTCGGCCTTCGCCGCGCTGTCGTTCTGAGCGCATAGCCAGCGAAAGACTCGATAATGTCCCGGCACTGTGTGTATCGCAGTTATCGCCATCATCGCCGCGCTCGTAATCTCAAGAGGGAGCGCTTTCGGCCCATGGAACTCATTGAGATGCAACCAATCCGCACGCGATGAATTTCCCAAGGGGAGCCTGAACACCTGCGAAAGACAGCCTAACACAATTTGCGTTAGGGACCTCGGCATCGGCAAGAACTGCATCACATAGCTCAGCACCGTGGTACAGTACGTACTGTACAAGACTGCCGACGAGGAGGCGGGAGTCGGTCCACGACCGACAGCAGCGCAGCGGAGACGATATCTCGATACCAGAAGCACCCAAGAATCATCCACCGAGGCTCCAGGGCCCGCCCGCTTCCCCAGGTCAAACAACTTACCTTCGATGCGAAACTGACTCCAAGACGGGATAAACATGTCCAACAACTTCTGGATCTTCATCTTGAGATCAGCGGTAAACCTATCAGAGAAACTATGGATTCAATTTGTGTCGGGGTTTCGGTTTTCTGCTATGCCTGGCGGCCCATAGGGGCCAGACGGATCGCGAGGAGGCGGAGGAGGAGGAGGAGGAGGAGGAGGAGGAGGAGGAGGAGGGGCCATCTGTGGTTGTGGCTCTTCGCGTTTCTCCGGGTTGCCTTTCTCCCCTCCCCCTCCTCCCTCTCTCCCTAACCTCCCCTCCCTCCTCCTCCCCCCGCCCCTCCCCCCGAAATGGGACGAATTACAACCGACTGGTCCCAATTCCAACCGTTCGGAGCGAATTGCAACCATAAATGGGACCAATTACAACCATGGGATATTCAGAAGTACTTCTTTCTTCTTCAGAAGTATTTCTTCTTCAGAAGTACATCTTTCTTCTTCAGAAGTCCTTCTTTCTTCTTCAGAAGTACTTCGGTTCCTTAGGATTCCTTAGGATTCCTTATGATTCCTGAGGATTCCTTCGGATCCTTAGGATTCCTTAGGGTCCTAGGGATTCCTTAGGATCCTTAGGATCAGGATTCCTCCGGATTCCGTCAGGAATCCTTAGGAATATTGACGAATCCATAGGAATCCAAAACAAATCCTTAGGGGAAGGGGGCGCTTTGGGGGCCTTCTTGGGGTCTCTCTGGGCCACTCTTAGGGCCCTCTTGGGGCCTTCTTGGAGCCCTCCTGGAACAAAGTATTGACATTTCTTGGCGCCCAAATAAGCCCTAGAAGGGCCAACTTTAGAGGGCTGCAGGGGGGCCCGGCGGAGTGACATCCTATGGGGGCTCAGATTGGACCTCGCCATCCCTGGGGGGGCTGCGATCTGCGAAACTGTCGCCACTTTCGAGGGGTGCTGGTGGGTCCAGTGGACTGGCGTCCTACAGGGGGCCCTAAAAGAGCCCGAAACGGCAACAAGAGGGAAAAACAACCGAAACATATTTTATTTGTCGGAAAGGGGGCGGGGAGAACAACCGAACAATATTTTATTTTTCGGAAGGGGCTGCTTTGGGGGCCTTCTTGGGGTCTCTCTGGGTCACTCTGAGGGCCCTCTTGGGGCCTTCTTGGAACCCTCCTGGGGCCCTTATTGACTTTTCTTGGCGCCCAAATAAGCCCTAGAAGGGCCAACTTCAGAGGGCTGCAGGGGGGGCCAGCAGAGTGACGTCCTATGGGGGCTCAGATTGGACCTTGCCATCCCTGGGGGGGGGCTGCGATCTGCGAAACTGCCGCCACTTTCGAGGGGTGTTGGTGGGCCCAGTGGACTGGCGTCCTACAAGGGGCCTTAAAAGAGCCCGAAACAGCAGCAAGAGGGACAAACAACCGAAACATATGTCATTTTTCAGAAGGGGGCGGTCCTCCTCCTCCTCCTCCTTCTCCTCCTCCCCCATCGTCCTCCTCCTCTTCGACCTCCTCATCGTCCTCCTCATCCTTCTCCTCCTCCCTACGTCGCTCCCCCTCCCCGACAAAAAACCGTGGGTCGCGTGGATTGGTAGGGCCGCGTGCCACGGCACGACCCGCCTCGGATTCGAAGCCGTGCCGGGGATTCAAAATCGGGATTCCGGCGTTTTGGCAGCAAGACGAAGTGATGGTTCGCACTGTAATCGCCCAAGGGTGCTTCACCTACCGCTATTGTCTTTTGTTCGTAGTAGTAGTAATAGTAGTAGTAGTAGTCGTAGTAGTAGTAGTAGTAGTAGTAGTAGTAGTAGTAGTAGTAGTAGTAGTAGTAGTAGTAGTAGTAGTAGTAGTAGTAGTAGTAGTAGTAGTAGTAGTAGTAGTAGTAGTAGTAGTAGTAGTAGTAGTAGTAGTAGTAGTAGTAGTAGTAGTAGTAGTAGTAGTAGTAGTAGTAGTAGTAGTAGTAGTAGTAGTAGTAGTAGTAGTAGTAGTAGTAGTAGTAGTAGTAGTAGCGTAGTAGTAGTAGTAGTCGTAGTAGTAGTAGTAGTAGTAGTAGTAGTAGTAGT